GGTAATTTGAGAGTCTCAAGCAAAGCTTCATTACCCGCAATTGCTGGTATCAAGCTTTCGAGAGCCTGTGTCAGGGACTCAAGTTCGTATCGGAGCTCACGAACATTTCTCTGGGAATTCTTGAAACTTTCGATCAAACTGTAAAGGGTCTTGCTTGTCTCAAATGCGAAGCTAGCTAGCGCAATCAAGCTAGAAGCGAGAGAGATGGCGTCCGCCATGAGAGATGGTAGTGAATTTGGAAGTGATGATAGATACTAGCAGCTATCCTGAGGGAAAGACTGTGCAAATAAGTAAAAGGTGGAAAGGCTGTCAGGTGCACGAGCAACCCCGCTTGCATGCCAAGGGCGCTTATTGTCGCCGTCCGTTGCATATCATTGAGGCAATACCACAAGACAAAGAGAGCCCCCAAGTCTCTTCCAATATTCAGATAGACCAACAGGGAGGAGGTAGACCAAAACCTTGCTATCAGGTATCACGCTAACAAAAAAACCGACATGCGGCTGATTGAAAGTCTAAAAAGCGGATATAAGGACTTCAGACAAGGGGTTAAACAATTTTCAGATCGCTAAATCTTCGAGTGACTGAAAGTCTTTCGTAGCTTCATTATCTAGCCTAGCAAAGAGGAAGCGGGGCAAACAAATGAGACTCTCTCTGTAAAAGAAATGACAAAATCCAGTAAAAGGACAGAAAGAGAGACAAGGAAGCCGGTTGAGAGATATCTGAAAAGGTAATAGAGTGGTGAAGCATATAATCGAGATACGAGAATTTCTGTTTGCCTGTATTTGTTTTGCCATATGAACCTGTCGATCACTGACTTTTTATATGTGTATTTTCCGTGACTAGAATTCCATGATCAAATGAAATGTTAGGATACTGATATTCGATTAACCTTTTTTTCATAGAACACTTACATTCATCCTATAACTTTACCAAGGTGTCTTGCCAAGTCTTTGACCCCCTCCGACTTTCTCGATAACTGTTAAAGCTGATCGTGGTTTGATATCTTTCTCAGACATAGGAGCTCGGTCATGGGAAACTTGCTGGAAAGTATGGTCGCCCATATCGCCGAGACACTGAGTTGCACGAGCCTTAGCGCTGATCGCTTTCGCCGCGGTACAGTGTCCATTGGACGACCCAATAAATTGAAGCACATCCTCCTCAGCGCTGATGTTGTCAAAGACATTGAGCCTTTCATTCAAATGTGGATGAATAGTACTCGCCACATTAGGTGGGATAGAGGAGCTTGAGTAAGTTGAAGACTGGTTTTCATGAGTCATATTTTTATGCGACTGTAATACTTGACACATATAGTGCTTGAATTAGGAGGTTGTATGTCCCGAAATGTTCAGTATGACTGCAACGGCCAAAAATGAGCAATATCAAAAATTTGTTGAATAAGGAATTTGTCGGATTGACTGCAATCCCGATGGAGCGGGGTATAGTCACGTGATATAACACGTGAGACCTTGCGCATCAAGTGCAGCGACCTCAGGAGAGTTTATCGTATGAGATTCGGCCATTATTTGAGTGTCATGTCTACTGCTCTACGAAACAAAGGTCAATATCACATATTAGCCTTATATCATCACAAGCTGATGATGACTATGAAATCCGGATTCATTGTCCGAGTAGTAGTACGAGAAATATGCTCATTTCGATTAACGCTTGGACCAGAGGTCGACAAATATTGCGGTTTATCAGGGATGCAAGGAGCTAGACACCTACTAGTCCTACATCCCTCATCAGGCGCGTGGTACACTCCTTTGTCTTGACAGTACTTTGAGTAACGTGCAAAACAATACTCATTCTTTTTCTGTAATTGATCATTCTGCTTCGTTACTTCGTGTTGGCCGTGATTGTCTTTGCCCGATGTTAATGCACATAGAAGAGCATGATTGTCATTACTAGTGAAGAGACTATTTCTGTCTCTGCCCTCTGAAAGTCCTGATTACGGAGATCGAACAATAACCCCTAGAAGGATGGGAAGGCTATCAACGAAGCTGTTGTTCACGTGATATGAGCAGAAACATTGTGTGGGTAATATGAAGCTAGTCCAATTTTGGTATGACCTTAGTCCAGCACAGACTTTGTGTTCATTCAGTCTCCAAGCCTCCCAAACTACCGCCGCAGACTACCGCCGCAGACTACACTCGATGAGGCGAACATATTCGCACTGTGGCCTCACCAGTACCATTCTGCCCAATCAATCTTTGTGTAGACTCTCAAATTTCATTGCCATCGTCGCTTGGCTGGGAAATAGTGAAGGATAGGAATGAATGAGAGTTCCTTAATGTGTAGCGAGGAAGAACACATGCTTGATTCGGGGGGTAGGACGATAGCGGTAGACAATCCGGAGGAAATAGGGAACTAAAGATTATAGTTCTTGGCAAAAAGTCTGGATAGTTCCCGCGTTTTTTCGCGTTCCCGCGTTCGTGATCAAAACCACCCATCTTCTTCAAACGCGAATAACTTCATGAATCCACGAGCGCTTTGCCCAATTCCTTTAAATGTTGTTCCTAATAAGAAAATTGATGAGGTAGAAAAAGCTTATATACTTGGGCTTCATGACGCAGGCATAGCGAAGAGTCAAATTGCTCGGAGAGTAAATCGGCCAATCCAATCAATTTGCAACGCGATCAAACGCGTTAAGGAACACAACTCCTTACCTTCTTCACCTCGATCAGGACGTCCAAAAAAGACCTCAGAAACCGAGAAACGTCTAATTATTCGAACTATCAAGAGAAATCCGTTTATATCATACGCCTCGCTTATCCAAGAACTCGAACTCTCGATCCAACGCCGAACCGCATACTCGATCATTCAGGAGTCAGGATATAGGAAATGGAAGGCTCAAAAACACCCAAAATTAACAGAGGAAGTGGCTAAACAGAGGCTTGCTTGGGCACTCAAATATAAAAGCTATACATACACGGATTAGTGTAAAATTATATGGTCGGACGAGTGCTCTGTTGAGCTTGGAAGCGGCCACCGAAACCACTGGGTCTTCCGGCTCAACCACCACTCCGAAAAATGGAAAAAAGAGTATATACAACCGGGCCAAAAGGGGAAGAATATAAGAGTCATGGTCTGGGCTGCTATTTGGGGCGAAGAACGGTCGGAATTAGTACGTTTGGAGAGAGATTTTGAGGCAAAGAAGTTTGGTTACTCCGCGAACTCGTATATCAAGGTCTTGGATGGATTTTTCCCGGAAATCCAAGAGGAATTGGCCTCAAAGGATCTTATATTCATGCAGGATAACGCCACAATCCATACAGCTAAGAAAGCTAAGGAATAGTTCAAGAATCATGGCTTGGAAGTCATGGAATAGCCACCGTACTCCCCGGATTTAAACCCGATTAAACACATGTGGTTTCCTCTCAAAGAAGGCGTTCAAAAGGCAAATCCTACGCTCGAAAACCTCCCTGGGGAGGATACTACGAAGGAGGACTTCCTTTGGGAGGCTTTATACATCTCTTGGAAGCAGATAAAGGCCTCAATCCAAAGATCTTTGGTGGAGGGTATGAACCGGCGTGTACAGGCAGTTCTTGACGCTAAAGGGTGGTATACAAAGTATTAAGGCGTCAAATCGGTGTTTTCCCCGCCGAAATCGGTTAAAAATTAGTGTATATAGTTATATTTACAGCTTCGTTGCTTGATTTTTTATGAATATCTTGATTATATATAAATTTGTATGGTGGATGAATATTGGTTGGGTGGCCCGCAAGCGGGAAATATCCAGACTTTTTGCAAGGAACTGTACAACACACGTACAATCGGGGATTTGCAGTGCAACAGAACAGAGCATAACGAAAGAGTCGATCGTGGTGACCAAAAATCGAATCACAAAAACAAAAGACAAGACACAACAAGACAAGGCATGATACAATGCAGCGGCAGGCTGACAAAAGTAACGTGATCCCGAACCTTCCTGCCCATCACCCATAGCACCCCTTTCAATGGTGTATACCCGGGATGACCCTGATGGGCAGTTCATTACATACATCCTCAATAAGACTGTTCACGCTACGATTTCTTTTTCTCTGTGGCCGTTTTCAGTGGATTTGATCTGGGAATATTGAAAGAACAGACGGGTAGCATTTATTATGACAGTTTCTCAATTCATAGTTCGAAACCTTGATAAGGAACATCTTCGAACTCAAGCCATCAAAGTGTCGTGTTTGCTCTCGGACAGCTTAGGGGTGAGGAATGAGGTAACTTTAATAGACTTAAAGAGTCACGTCCAGGTCATTGCCTTTAGATACCCAATTGTTGTTGGAGTACTTAGCCATCTGCTCTGATAGGCTGGGGTGGCGAACGAGTTAAATTGACACCGATGAGGAAGAGAAGTTGTGGCTAATGTAGGCATGGATCACGTTCGCAAAACTCGACTGACCCACGTCCATAGTCACGTGATTACCACGACCTCGAATACCCCTCGTGCCCCGCGTGCCTTCTTCTCAGACACCAAGTTTGCAAATCTACCCACCCCCTTCATCTTCGTTATTCTATGGTGGATATTTGACCCATCAACAACGAATAAATATTCAAGATCATCGCTTGTCAAAAATACTCTCAAGTTAAATCCAGATGAGCCGACCTCTAACACCCGAAGCCGAATCGCTGCGAGAGCAAATCAGAGACATAATTTCAAGGGCAGATGGCGGTAATATAAACAATGTGGACCGTCTTCAAGCGCTTGATGGGCGAGTACTTTATGCAGGGACACCTCTCTCAATCAAAATCGGTGACCTGATGGAGAAGTCCGGATTACCAGGATCTGTAAGTTTAACTTCTACTCATTGCTCCATATCAGTGGCTCACAGACTCTTTAGGAATGGGGCTTTACTGTCTGGTCTTTTCCTCATCAAAAGCGACTTGGAAACCCGAATAAAAACATGTGGGTGATCCCACTGTCAGATCGATCAGAATTAATACACGGTGGATCACTGAAAGAAGGCTCTCTTACGCATGTTACGGAATTGGAGCCGATTATCAGTTCAGGGTCTACGATTATAATCTTCTTGGAATTGAAGCGATAGGGGTTTTATGCTCTCATACCTTAAGTACATTTCTGCCTTTAAGGCTTTCCGGCCTTGCTTTTAGCTTGGGAGGCCGGTCAGTTGACCATTTAGTCGGGTCGCGTCTTCCTCCGAGAGAACATCATATTGGAAATCATCAATAAGTACAAATATAGATCTTTGACGTAGTTGACTCCTCACATTCTCGGCTCTATGGTGCACGGCTTTGAAGGTAAAAAGTATGATAAGACTGGCAGTATGCTGCACAAGCACCAAAATGTACACTCATGGTGCGGCCGATAGGTAATGTAACTGATAGTCCTCTTGCCTTTGAAAAGAATCAGATAATGCTCTAAAGCCTTCCGTCGCGACCCCTCTATGTACGCTGGTTGTTGTCTGCGTCTCATTATTATCAGTTTTGTTAGCCTGATTTTGTAACCTAGAGAGCCGAGGATGCTGATCAAAAGATGTGCGATCTAAGGGTTCCGGAACGACGCGACTTGGTAGCTGCCTGATATATGGGTGTGGATCAAAGGTTTCCATATTTATGCCTGCCCGTTGCTGACCAACCTGGCCTGGGCTAGATATCAGCGTATGTTCTAAGGAAGCTTGATAGTCACATAAGGCACGGCCTGGCAGTTCTTGAATATATGGTTGTAGATCGATAGCAGTTTGAGGTTGATTAGAGTTTCGATACTCAGCTGCATCAGGAAACACATATTCTGGTGACCCTGAAAGGATGTTATGTAAATGAAGAGCTTCTGTCTCCGTAACTGCATTGACCTTGTCGATCTGAGCGATGTCGGATGCCACAACATGGCTATTAAGGCTAGGAATATCAGACAGATTCCTGCTCATGCCACGTGGTGTATGTTGGATATATGATTGGAGGTTGAACGGTTGGTGGGCGGGATCAGAAGTAAACTGTCCAGGTTCATGATACAACACTCTGGGTCGTTGCAAAATGTAAGATTGCAGGTCAAGAGAGACTTGAGATTCCTGCGTCACTTGAGGTTCTGGCCATTCATTAGGAATGCCGTTATTCAAACGCTCGTAACCATTCGTGTCTTGTTCAATCGAAGATTGTGGAAGACCTTGCGCGTCGAGTTGATGCCCAGCCTCTGATGGGTCATTACTTCCAAAATTTTCTTGCTCCCTTGCGATGATATTAGAGGGCGCAACTGTAGTCTCATTCATGCCTGTATCGTGACTGTCACCCACACATGAGTCATGGGAGTGGGTAGGACTTTTATTTACTGTCGGAAGCCCAATCGTAGCGGAAAGAAATGAGAAGATGTTGCAAGCTAATATGTCCAGGGAAATTCCCTGAAGGCTTGAACTCAAATCAAAGCACTTTAGTTCTTGAATTTTCCGATCTCTTCTTGGGCCACTATTGAGAGGAAGCCTTTTCATGCTTGATGGACTGTTAGTTAGAGTATAGCATGGACATAATGAAAAAGGGTTATTTAACTCACTAATCATCCCTTACATGTAGGGGCAGACGAAATAGCAGCCCCAGATGTTTTTTATCCTCCATCTGGTCGATCAAAGATTCATCCCATGGATGCCGGTTGTATTTGAGCTCAAAACAGAGTAGTTCTAGTCTCCGTCCAACGTCACCCCAGGAGAGAACACGTTTCTCAATTAGAATAGCGTCATCATCAACAGCTCCAGATGCTTGTATGATTGCTATAGCTTTCCGGACATCTTCTGACCGTTTATATGAACCGCACAGTTCCTTTAAAAGATGATGGAAGATGACCTCAAGGAACCGTACATGCCAGAGATTTATTTCTTCGCGCTCTTCCAACCGCGAAAGGAAGTTGTACGAATCGGCTACTGGATGAGATGAGCCTATGTTGATTTCTCTCCCTGCTTCAAGAAAGCTTCTGATATTATCCCCCCATTCGGAAGAATATTTGAGTAAGACATTTGTGTTTCGTGGTTGCGGTTTTGATCGGGACTTTCTTGGTAACTTAGTGTGTCTTTGGATGCTTTTTCTGTGCGCTGGAGACATATTTTGCCAGAGTCCCCTTAAGATATCGGTGAACTTCGTTCTGTCAGAGAAATTGCCACTATAGCAGAGGCATCAACTCACCTCATCATCAGAAAGGAGATCAATTATATTACCACGACCCTGTGCCTCTGCCTCGATACAGGCGAAATTGAGTTTGCCTGAGAGCATCCTGCTCTCACTAATACCCATGTTAAATATTGGATTTCGTATGAAGTCGGTCTGATAGATAGGCAGACTGTTTCTACCATTACCATCATCAGTGAAGTATGACGTGTTCGTCTCGACCCCGCTCATGTAGATAAACATACGCATTGACCATCTCGGAGTAAAGATTGTTGCTCTCCCGAATAGAATAGGCTGCTATCCAATGAAGTGCCGCAAAAATTAGCCTTAGTCAGCACAGAGGCCTTTTCAAACCAGGGCGGAAAAACAGGTTCCCGTCTACCAGCTTCCCATTCTCCGTACTCTATGAATCTAACAGGACTCATGTATTCATGTAGATCTCCACCACAGTTTATCCTCGAAGTATATTCCATTTCATACTCAGCACAGAAGCTTATCAGGATCGTCGTCTGTGAGCGATATTGTATATTTCTCTTCGCCGCTCTCACTTGACCGGGTTGGCTTGAGTACGGCTCTACGAGTACTCCATCTAACGAACCAATACTGAATTCGTCACAATTGAAGCTAAAATAAAAGCCCGAAATGATGGTCACTCAGGAAGCTCGCCCCGGATACGAAATGACAGTTTAAATTACATTTATCGGGCCGAGACTGAGGTCCGCCCGCCGTGATTGTGGTGGATTAACTCGCCGGAATTAAGCCTCTAGAGCCTTCCGTTCGCGATCTGCCTTGGCGTTCCATATCTTTCAGGAGTCAACAATTTGTTGAATTACATTAGTATCAATCCGTCCGGTAACTTTCTCTGCGTGCACAACAGTTGGTAAACGAGCTTGAATTGCTCTGCCTAATCTTCTGGTTGTGAAGTTTTGCGAGACGCCCATGATTCAATGAAACAAAGCACCGCGGAGGAACCGATCAACGGAAGCCGGCTTGTAATTTCTTTCCTGCAATGCTGCGTTATTTGCCGCCAAAATTGTCCGCGGAGTCTTTGGACGCGAATCACCCCGCCCAAGCAACAGGCCCTAGTTCTAAACATAACAGAATATAAACGATTATCAGAGATGTAAAGAAATTTATTTATCATCAGTAATTATGCAGCTCCAAGTCATTTGCAATTTACAAATAGCCGTCACGAAGGGGGAGACGATATGTCTGTACCATCCTTGAAGGGCCAGTTCTGCCAGCACAAATCACGCTCATGCTCCTCAGCTTGCCGTAACATTTCCAACCTCAGCTCGAGGTTTCTCTGAGACGCCCACTCAAAATTTTCCGGCGTTGTACCACCTTCGAGGTCCACACCTAAGTGTTTTCTGAGAGCAGATAGAAGCTTCTCAGACTCATTCCATTCTTTAGAATCCTCCCTTGCTGTTTGTCGCTCTTGCTCTGTAAATGATACCGGGCAAGAAGCAGAAGATATGACATTCCAGACTTGTGGAGTTGTGATACCAACAAGAGCAGCACGGAGATTGATAGTATCTGCATCCCAAGGATATCCAGTTTGTTGGTACAGATACTGTCGCATCCCAAGGTGAGGGATTTTCAGGGCACTCAAATGAATATCGTTGTATATGCCAGTAGATGCTGTGTAGTAAAGATTGGCTTCATCTAAGCGAAACTTGGTCTTTATCCTTGTTTGTTCTTCCATGCTCAAACTGTCGAAATCATCCGGGAGGGATGGCAGCTGTAAAGTTTGAGTCTGCGATAAATCGTGCTCACAAAAGCTGGGATATCCTGCTTGCATGAAAAGCGGAAAGACAATAGCATCCTGCCAATCTATGATACTGGCGATTTTCGTGGAGCTAGGCTCTAACAGAATATTGTGAAGGCTCAGATCTGGATGCCGTAGGATTGGACGATTGTGATCGGCATTTGTTGGTATCAAGAAAGGCGCAATTTCCAAAAATTTGGAGAGAAGTGAGACATGTTCAGGGGGCTCAATATTATGCAGCGTTGGAAGAAGGAATGTGTTTCGGGGTTGGGGTTTCGCATGATGTAGGATACAAATAGTCTCTCGACGAGCTGCAGATGTAAAGCAATCTTTAGATCGAAGCCCTTTTTGGACGGTAAGCTTTGTTTAGATATTGAAGTTAAGAGAGGACTCACAAGGACCACGATCAATTTTGGTTTTTGTTCGATCACCATGCCAAAACTGCCGTGCAGCAACAGGCCCAATGCAAAAATCCTGTACTGACATCGGAATCTGCACTTCACCCTCCACATCCTTCTGGTGATATAGACTTCCATATCCAGGGAACGGACAATTGAAAATTCTGTGTTCCATCTCTGCTATTTGTTTCATGACGCTCTTGACTTCGTCTGTAGTAAGCGACAACCAGATTGATGCAAGACTGACCCCTTTTATCCGCTCCATTATGATGTATTCTGATCCAATTGGATTGTCCGAGGATGTCGAGTACGCCAGGACTTTTGGTATAGGTATTCCGAGGATAACGCGTAAAAACTCCATTGTAGCAACCTCGCTTGCGGTGGTGTAATGAGAAGGACCGGCGATGGGAGTAGGGATTCGTGCAATAACTTCTTTACCAGAATCTGCTCTTAACAGAAATACTTTATTAAAACCCCCCTCCGCAAGCTTGATCATGAAAGGGCAATGGTCCTCCCCAATTGCGCGACCAGCGACACGCTGAAGCTCATTCGGTTCAAATTTGACGTATCTTTCCTTTAGACGTTCTTTCTCATTCATTCTAAGAGAGATTAGTGGGCTTAGAAAAAAAGAGAGCTGGGGTTGGACTAACACCCATCGTCGAGACGTATTTTCAAAGAAGTCATCGCGGGGAGATGATGTACGACTAGACAAACGAAGGCGTACCGGCATAGAATTGATAGACTTCGCACTGTACCACGGATTGGAAGAAAGTAGTGCGAGCGACCTGGTTCTGGCAGTAGACAGTATTTTGGATCTGAACATATCTCGAGAGGAGGAAGGGCGAACTTGCAGTTTATCCGATAAGAAACAATGAGGCGTGTTATGGACACGAAGAAACCCGCTCCTGCCAAGATCTCTCACCGCCCTGGATTACTGTTTTGGTGTGGATGAGTAGAGGAGAGGTTGGGATTCCTTATCGGGTAACTGGATTGCGTCGGTATGTGGGTCTAAGAGCTTTTTAGTAGAAGAGACAGGTGATTTCAATTTTCCCCGGACATTTCAATGCCTACGCTGGTTAGGTAATCGGATAGCTAACTTTGCTAATCAATCACTTAAAAGCAAGTGTTCACTCCCATAGAAGAGGGCCCACACGGGAGAAGGTGGATATTTACGAGCAGAAGTTGTGGCACATTTCGGACACTGCTCCACTGCACCGTGTCTTCCCGTGATAGGCTTATTGGAAAAGCGTCAATAGGAAAGGGAAGCAGGGGCAACCGAGCAGGCTACCATAGTTCATACTGGGGTTTAGTTTTGCCACACTCTGCTACACTATCACTAACAACTATAGCAACTACAAAGAATATCACCAGTTGTCGGTCAAATTCATCATTATCTCCAGAAGCTGGAGATGGCTTGTTCAATGTAAGTATGGAAATAGACGGGTGCATCTTTTATGCCAAACGATATACATGTGCATTCAAAGATGCCTAGTTTGGATTGAAAAAAAGTTTTCTATCCATCTCCGAGTCGCATTCGCATATGGAAGAAAGTATGCTTCAACGTTGTCGTAATGTGTGTACTATCTGCATTAACGTAACGTTAAAGTTACCTTAACTTATAATATTCGGCTTATGTAATTCGATGTCTGATGTGGTGCGTGGGCTAGCCTCCTCGTATTGCTTTCAGGTGTATGTAATTCTTGCAAAGTCTTAAATTATTCGTGTGAGAGCACTCTCTTTATAACGTCAAAACTCTGAGGAGGTTGACCAAAACGTGAGAGCCCATTATGTATGACCCGGTACGCTACGAAATACTGTAGAAGTGACTTGACTACCGAAGGAGGGCACGAATAATTTGAGTCCTCTCACTGGAGCCGTGAATTTTCACTCTTCAACCGTATCTGTATCACAGGCCACGGTGCTCGTGGGTTGATGCTGAGATTTTGACAAAGGGAGAAGGATGGTCAAGAGTGACCATCATTTGTCCAACATTATTGATCACGAAGGTTCCAGCTATCTAAGATACTTTTAAAATAATTTACCAGGTACTTATTCGAAGTATCTCTAAGACACAATGTAACAAGCCTTATAGGAACCAGCCCGGCCATTTCATGATCTCGCGAAGTTTCACGAAAATCCTCATATTTACCCTCAAGCGCGAGGATGATGCCTAATTAAGTAAAATACACTCAGGCTAGGTACATGAGACTTCTGGCTGTTAAGCACTCCTGAATCTTGACATTCTCAAAGACCTTCTGCGGTCGTTCTCATGATTTCAGCAAATTCTTCCTTGGTAGCATCTTGCGGGACCACTACTTCGGTAATTACACTATGGGACCCATTCTTCCTGACCCAATCTTTGATTGACTTCGATTCGGCTTGCGCAGCTGCCTGCCACTGAAAGATGTTGGCAGTTCGAGTAGCGCCGTCCTTCGCTTCCGGTCTATCGTCGGGCACTTCACGGGTTTGGTCGCCAAGGTCGAAATGGAAGCCAATATTCTTCAAGTCACGCTGCGAAGTAGGGAATGTAGGATTACCAGGCCCAACGGTAGGCCTCGTAAATTTCTGATGCACTACTTCGAGTTTTTTGGGATCAAGCATGGTCTCAAGAGCTCTTTTCCCGGCTTTCTTTAATCCGGACATAGCTAGGAACTGAGCGGGTCAGTACATGATAAGTCATTCACTCAAAAGATAACTCACTCTAGACCGTTTGAAATAGCTGTGGATAAAGGGTATTTTTTCTTAAGGTAAGAGACAAAAGCTTCGTCTGGAGTATGGATGAATAGCCGTGTTTTACTCTAGTGATAGAGGCGCAGTGTAGCCTATATATGTTCATCTGATTATCAATTATCAATAATCCATACTCAGAAGCCCAAGGAATCACCGTTGCTAGCGCTAGACTTAATCACTGTACGCTTCACAACTGTATGCATCCTCATTTTAATCTTGGTATATGATTAGCAACGATCACTACTCCAGATTTCTTCCCAAGGACGTCAACTCAAACGACCTGTTCGTTTTGGTAGTGCTGCATTTCCTTTTGAACTTCACATGCAGAAATTTACAGCTTCTTCAATAGCTGCATATTGCGTGAGCAGGATCCAGAGTGACAATTTTTGAACCCCGCATACTAATCACAAAGGACTTATTTGACGTAAGATTTCTGCGGAGACATCCGCTGTTTGTATTTAGCAGGCACTTAGAGGGACTTTGACACTAGTGATTAAGGTTACGATTGTGCCAAGACTTCTGCGTACGCAGAAGTCTTGGCACAATCGTAACCTTTTTCTGGTCCTTATGCGCGTCATTAAAGATAAAACTCCGAAGCTCACTATTGCCTATCCTCTAAATATTGTTGCTCTTCGAGCTAACACGATATTTCGGAATAGAGACCTGGATAATCATACCAAGTGGTGTTTCGAAGCTAAAATCATGTTGGAACATCTCAAGTCACCTTGCTTGGACGTAATACCACATAAACGACAAAAAACCCCGTATCGAAGCTCCTCACACAAATCAGGGGAACACCGGCTGAACTTTGAAGTCTGCCCAACCAGGCGATTCCTGCATGATTATGTAACCTAGGCCGAATCATTAAACAGTCTTCGCAGGGGCACCTCATTTATACCATTAAGACTACCATTGGCCATCATAGAATATCACGCTTTCGGTATACCCCGGCACTCGATTGGTAACAACGAGGGCAATCAAAAATTGCAATGAATAAGCTCCTGACATACTTAGTATCAGATGAATTGGTCCAGAATTATAAATATGATGCTTTACCAATATTCTTCATAATACCACATGTTCATGGTCTTCTCATCTCAAATATTGATCTGTCATTGAATCAAATGCCATTCTTAATCACTCACTATGACTATGGCCTCGCAGAACAACAGTGGGACTCGGGCATCGCTTCTCCTAAAGGTGCTGCATAAGCTTGTTTCATCAATGATACATCTTTTGTCTGCCGGGATCACTCAACTTCGTGTTCTCAGGATTGAAGTAAGTACTGCCTGTCTTAAGATGGCCGCGAGATTTTAACTTTGAGTAGCCATGGAATGCCTTGCAGATTCGGAGAGTCGAAAGCCCCTTTGTTGTCATAGAAGCAAGTACATACAGCATTGCGATACCCATCCAAGAACTGAGAAAGTCGGTCTTTGGTTGGGCATTCCTTCTTTACCATGGAGGTTTCTTCCTTGATGTTCTTTCTTTTATGATAAAGCATCGCAATAACCAGGACTTTCAGCCCTTATTCGGGGGAGACGGACTACGGGCCGCTGCAAGATACCAGCGAGGATGTGCTTTATTTTGCCCAATTTCTGTTAATGAGGGTTTTAAAGTTGTGCCTTACTCTCTTCTTGAGAGAACCGTTCCTGGAAGGCTTTTGATATGGCAAGCAGATCATCCTATGCTCGACATTACCTTGAGAACGAGGCTTTTCGTGGCTGGGAAACTGTTCGACGCTGCGGCTTTTGGCGTGTTTAGAACTATCTTGCACAAGTCAGTATCATTCGTATGCTTCTTTTTGCAGGGAGCGCTTTGGGTTTGTATCCAAATGAGGCGCAAATTTGAATTATGGATGAGATGGGATGCACAGGTTTAATCCCCTAAGTGCAGAGAAGGCGAAGTACCAATGTACATATTCCAAGTAAGGAATGACATCTAACGAACGAATCGAGACTTTGATGCACTATTATGAGTACAAATTCCTAACTCCTATGTATTGCATCTAGTGAAAAGCTGTGTTTTAGATTCACTAACCACACCTGCTCTCTATTTTGAGCTCTGTACACGTCGATGGCATGTCACAATCTTTTCGAGCGGTATGTCTGTAATTCACAGATAATCACGTACTGAATCGGACTGTTGGTCAAGCATTCGTGCATCTTCAGGGCGCCTATGCTACGGTTTGAGACTACCGACATCATTTATCTGTGCAATCTACATCGTCAGGCATTGCTTTGCTCTACAACTGCATAGAAATCAATGCTAAGACAAAGAAATAACTATTCTAAGTATTTATATAATAGAACCTGTTCTGTAATCGCTACCAATTTTCACCAGCATTCAATCAGTATTGCACCA